GCCGCCGCTTTCATTTGACTGCAGAATGCAACAGTCTAGCGGGCAGGGATATCCGGATGCAGGATGAGTACTTCCACTGTGAACTTTGCAGTGGACGAGTTCTGCCTCCCGACTACGTCACGGCACCAGCTCAGCCAGGAGGATACACCTTAAGGGTCTCCATCCAAAATTGGCTGCAGGCTCATGCCACGCGCTATAGCTTCTCCCCCATGACAATTGCACGCTGTGCATTGCGTCATGAAGTGGTTAAGAGTGTTTTTCCATGTTCGACCGACCGTATCCTTCCGCTCAAGGGAGGGACTTGTGCGCTGAAAAGCGCTGCGGGTGGCGCGCGTTCGTGCGCCGTGCTTCGTCTGTTGCCGGACCTCGGTTGCCGGCCTTGCTACCTCAACATAAATAATTAACCATAAAAGGAAAATAATCAAAGATTGCAATTTCCATATTATAACTATAATTTAAGCAATTGCAAAAATATATATAGAATATTATAATAAAATTTTATTAATAAACAATTATTTAATCATTTTAATTATAAATAATGCAAATAATAAATAATTCCCATTCATTAATTTCTTCAATACCTAAGATTTAAATATAAATTAAAATCAAAATATATATATTATGTCTCGGAACGAATAATATAAATATATATTATTAAATATAATTCATCCCATATAATTTAAATATGTCTTTAAATAATTATTAATATATCTATAAATTATATAATCAATCAATCATTCGGAAATATATTTTTCGCATTATATATTCTATTTAATCCATATATAGTAATATATTCAAGAAATCAAATCAAATATATTCCTCATATCAAAATTATAAATTTATTATTTATGAATTTATTAATCGTAATATTAAAAAAATATATATAATTAAATCAATTAATTCCTAAAATTATTAATTATCAATTATAAATATTATCATTATATATATATATAGATAGATAATATACATTTATTATTAATTATTATTACAAATTTAAAAGAATTATTATATATTACATTTTAACTAAAATAAATTATATATCATTATATATTCGATATAAAAAATATATATATTCAATTCAATATATACGTACGCAAACACCCCGCAAACACCCCAAAACATTCCATTTTAAAAAATTACGGGATCGGACTTATAGACTAATATTTAAAAAGATCTTAAATATATTAAAATGCTTTAATATATTTTTAGAATGTTATTTTTGGCTTGGCCCAATTGCGCGCGCATGCCTGTTAGTAGGCCTTTTAGTAATTTTATAAGTAATATATCATAATATATCTATATTATAGATATGTTTCTGTGTTTAATTTAAATATAGATATAAATATATTCGAGGGTTGGGTGATATATGTTTAAATTTGTTTTGCTTTACCTATGATATTCTAAGATTCCAGACCAAGCATGGACAGGGAGATGGCCCAATCTGAATGCTGCAACAGGTACAGTCGACATGGAATCTGAAGGCAGGCAATTAAGTCACACTATCCAGGTAGTTCACCTTTACCGTCCATCACATGCACTGGACCTCCTCTCTTCAGGGGGTAGGAACCATCTGAATACACCGACCAAAAAGTCTCGTTGCGCCACCTACTAGGCACTTCAGACTCTTCCCGGTGCGCTCATAGACTTGTCCAACAACTTGCCTTTCAACCTGAAGAATCTGATGGAAGCTTGCAATATGAGCTAGTGTCCCACAAGATTGCAGTATGAGCTGTTGTTTTGACAGCAGCTTGCCCGGCACCCGGTGCGCACACGCGCCGTGCACTCACAGTGGCAGCACACAGCACCATTGCCGCCTTGACCCTTAACATCCAAAAACACCGGGCATGCGCAAAGGTCCAGTAATTAAGAACAACCTTTCGCTGGAAATGAGCCTATGCAGTGAGCTTGAGTGGAATGTAGACACCTTCAAGGGTCCGGTTCCCTGTGCAACACCTGCTTGTCCAAAAACATGAGCACCCTTTTTCCGAAGCCGAGCACTGTGTTTTGTCCTGAACCGACTCCCTTTGGAGCCAAGCCTGCGCAGGATGCGCGCCTGCGCAGGAGAAACGGAAGCTACGACTTATATATGGCAAATTGTACATTTTACAGAAAAGTAGAATCCCTTTCAAAATGTATTGGAAACCGTTTCTATCTATTTGGAGACCCCTATGGCCTGATTCAAGTACAAATTTTCTGAGAGGAAGTTCCTCAAAAAAATCATGCCTTCAACTCACCGCATCTTCTGAGGGAATCTTCTCCAGAACCTGAGATCGACGCCGGCAAAGGCGGAGAATCACGGCGGAGAAGGAGAAAAGCGAAAAGAATTCGACGACTCAAACCGTCGTTTCTGAAGGGCTTTTCTTTGGAACACATGTTTAAGAGCTGCGTGCTACGCAACTCCGGTTGAAGAAGAGAGGGGGGTGGTGAGCTCAGGCTGTCAAAGATTCGTGAAACAGCACAGCAAAGTGTCTCGAACGTTTAATTACTGGGTAGCTGGTCTCAACGAATTGAATACACCATGTCAAGAAGATTCTGAGGGGGGCCTCTTATTTTTGAGAATCCAACATTGACAGAACTGACTCCTCACAAAAGCCAGCTGCTGAAAAAACAGCTGTCAGAATCCGGTCAAATGGGTGATATCTTCACACCCCCCGCTGCTTGCAGGTCTCCCGCGCAGGTCTGACGTTGACGCTTCGAGGGTCGTTGTCTTTTGCAGGTCCGACGTCTTCGTCAAACAGGCTTAACAGTTCCCTAGGCGTGACAGCGCTTGAAGGTTCATCCCATTTGACCAACGCATCAGCGCGCCAGCGCACTTTTGTCTGTGCTAGCCCAGCACTGATCTATCCTATGTATATGTGGAAGCTCTAAAAACATGGTTGTACGCTGATGAGATAGGACTGGTGGTTGACGACATACATTTTACAAGTCCCATCTCATTTGGACATGGTAGAGAATTTAGATCACGAATGTCTCGATCTGCAACTGTAGCTCCCATGAGCTGTGTCTTGGTGTTGCTTAGCCCCACGGGCCACGGGCCACGGGATGAACTGTAGGCCACGGGCCACGGCGACTGGGTTTCCAAGACTCCCTGCACTGCCCGTTAGTCACTCACCTCGCTTCCCCTTTCCATCGAATGACCCTCACTTCACTTCGCTTTCCGAGATGCACATTGGTGAGAAGGGCGTACACCATAGTTTCAGAGCTCCTTCACTTTGACAGGCTTAACCATTTGACAGGCCTGGCTGGGAAGCATTGGTCATCTTTGTTGTGATTTTCCAAGGGGATTGGAGTGCTTAATCACTGCTACACGCCATGAAATCTCTGAATTGGAAAACAGAAGGTTGTTTCCCGTCACCCAGCTAGACCGGCCTAGCCATGCGCCGTAGAAAGGCAAACCCAACAAAGCGGAGGCCAGTCAAATGCAGTTCCTCTAGATTGTAATTGAAATCCACTTCCAGGGCTCGATGGTGATCAAAACCTCTAGCAAAACCCAATTGACTCACCCAATTACAAATCAACTGACCCTTTCACATCTTGGACTATTGAAAAACCTCTAGTGTTTGAAGAAGGATGCCTTCAGACCTACCATGCAAGCCAGTCAGATACAACCAAAAACCTTCAGTCAACATGAAGGAGGGAGACACTCACAATTGCCATTGTATTTCACCCTCAAACAAAATCCAGAAGTTCCCCTCACATGGTGATATCATTTCTGTACAAAGAGTTCCCAAAAGGTCATTTCAGATTCATGGCAACATCATACCTCACCTCTTTGCGGGGGGAAAGGTGCTGTCGACCAAGTTTTCCGCATCCAAGTTGCTTCAATGGCCCCATGAGGGCAACTCGCACACAAGTTCTTCGTCCTGCCGACTGCAAGCGTGATGGGAGGGAGACTTGTAGACAAAAACTGCAGAACTGTAAGTTTTTTGCAGAACCTCATCTTGGTCTAATATGGCGACTGCCGGGGTTGCCAACCCGGAGCAACCCGATTCGCGATTTCGAACGGTTGAAACACAGGAATCCATTTGGCGCAAGAAAAAAACCACAGGGAGTTGAAACAGCCGTACGATGAAATGGAGAAACAATCCTGGTTTCCGGCGTATTTGTACATTCATACACTTCCCGTTGTGTGGAGTTGCAATCCGCACCATTTCAAACCTCGGCGCTTGCAAACGTTTCACTATTCAACACACACACACCAAAAAAAGAAGGTATCCCATGGGGCAAAGTCACAGGAGGCATCACAGAAATCTAATAAGATTTGTGTGTCTTCTTGGCTCCTTGATTTGGGCCCACAAAAAATCGCTCTGTCACCTTTTCCTCACGCGACAATCTCTTGGCATAAAACAGTCATGGACTATGGAACTGCTCTGGCAAACTCACATTGCACTTTTGGCAAATGCGGCGACTCCTGAGTCTTCTGACAGGATGTGACGCGCCGGCAAAAGCGTGTTGGTCGAGTATCTGTGAAAGCGACATTGTCTCCTCTCCTCTGAATCTTTCTCGTTTTCCTGTCAGCCTGTCAGCTCCAGGGCTCTGTGGCCTTAAGGCTTGAGTTTTACCGTCTGTTGCCATCCGCAGACGTGGCAATTTCTGCCAGATCGAACAGGACGGTCGGCACCCACGGGCGCTGAACATCCCAAAATTGTGAGCATCCCTTGAAGCCCAAGGCTGTTGATTAATAAAACACCCCATATGGAGGTGTTTTCCATTAAGATACGGGGTCTCTCAAAACTTTTCCAGCCCTTGCAAGTCAGGACCCACAGGCCCACAGTGACACAAGGAGGCCAACAACGAACAACTTATTAGAAGCGTTGTGGTGAGATTGGGAACATCGTTGCAAGGACCAAGGTTCAAACTTGAAACGTGAATAAAACTGAGGATCCTGCCCGAGACTTCGAAAAGAACACATCAATAAGAAAACATTAGGAAAGTTCCCAAACCTCCTTTGAATGTTGAAGGAACACGATAGAATCCGATAGAATCAACAAGTGAAACCATCATTTTGGTAGCGAAGAGCTTGGCAGAAGCTTTTCGGTCTGATGGCAGGTGAAGCCATCAATCGGGAGCTGCCCGGTAAGCAAGTAAGTGTCCATCCATTGAAGGCAAGACTTGGACCCTTCATTGTCCCACCTTCCTTCCCCCACGATATGGCCTATCCCTTGCCAGATCATTTCCACGCCGTCTGGGAAGGCAGCACGCATTTGTTGAGCTGCTGCAAAGGGTGTGGAACGGTCATACAAGCCTTGGCATGGGCTGGGGTTCATACAAGGAACCGCTCGTCACCTCCAATTATATAAACCCACACATTCTCGTCACCCAGTGGTTCTGTTGTTCCACTGTCTATGTCTGTTCACAGGTTGACGAGTGTTCTCTAGAAACAAATCTGGTGGAAGAGGTTTGTGAAACCGAAATCGTTCGAGTTTTGGTCCAACTCTTCGACGCCCAGACCGAGTGTTTGTTCCTGCGCGCGGTCGGCGAGTGTTGGGCCGGCAGGGATGCGCTTGTGGCTCTTGCTGATGGAGCCACAGATAACCCCAACCATCCTCCAAGGACCCCGTGTTCGCTCCAAAATCACAAGTTGTTCCAGTCGGGGTCTAGAATTGTTCAAGAACCTCCCGAGATGGTGTAAAATAAGAGATAGCCCACGATTGCTGGAAGAAAGAGAAGGCTCCAAGATACCCCAAATTTGCACAAAATAGTCTCCTCAGACGCACACAAGTATAGCCTAAGGAAACTCCGCATTGAGTGACAAGCCAGCAACTTATAGATTGCAAGAGAAACGAAAAACGCGGTCACACCTCTGACATGATGCCCATTGGCACTCTGCGGAACTGGCCAAGGAGCTGTTCACAATCAACGCTCTGACGCCCGAGCGATAGCCAAGGACTGCCGGCGTCGGCTGCGCGGGCCACGTCAACAAAGCTCCTGCTTTAATGTTGGCCCAATAGAGCTCCACTCCTGCAAAAGCATAGGCGCAGCAGCCAACAAAAACACTCTCTAAATATATTTTGACCCCTCTTGCAGTCTTGAAATGACCGGAGGCAAAGATCATGCTGTTTTGCTCTCAAGCCTGCAAACAACGCTTCGACCCACGTGTGGGTCAAGCTGCCAGTCCTTTCAGGCCACTTATTACCTCCCTTGTTGAGCCCACTCGCTGCCCCATACCCCTTTTCCTCAACTCGTGTCCAAAACCGTCAAGTTCTGATCGCTACATCTGGCAAGATTCAACTAGACGACAGGGCGGCCCGAAAGCATAGTAGGAGTAAGCATTATAACGAAAGGGTTCCAAACGAAAAAAGAAACTGAGGGATGAACCGTTTGACGGCAACATGTATGGTGCATGACGATGTATAATGTCTGCGTATGTGTGTATGATGATGATGATGATGATGATGATGATGATGATGATGATGATGAT